AGCCGGGCCCGTGGCTGCCCCGCAGCAAGGCACGTGGCAGTGGGGCTGGCCAGCTGTGGGGTGACTGCATGGTTTTGGGGGGGGCCAAGCTGGTGCTGGTGGGGAGGACGCAGGTGCTCACCCGGATGCCGGAGCCAGGGTCCCCTGGATCGCCCTGGGAAGACAGTGCCTGTGTCAGTCCCACCGCCCCGACCCACCAGCCACAGTGGTCATGACCACGTCCCTGCGCCTGCTATGGGGCTGTTCCCCAGGGCTGGCTGGATCCAAGAGGGCAGCCAGCCCAAAATGCTCCTCCTTGCATCCCAAAACAGCCCAAAATGTGGCCCTCCCGCCAGCCCCCCAACGTGGCAGGGCACTGCTCTCCTCTGCCAGGCTGGACGTGGCGATGCCAATGCAGATGCCAACTGATGCCAATGCCATACCTTGGTCCCAGCTGGGCCCTGGGTCCCTGGGGGGCCAGCGCTGCCCTGCGGGGGACAAGGGGATAAGGGGACGTTACTTCTGGGCTGCGCTTGCTGGTGGCACAGGTCAGGGAGGAGGCAGGGGTGCAGTCCCAGCACTGCCACACCTCCCTGCTCCCTGGGGGGACACCCATCCGGGCTGATGTCCCCCTTGCATGACAGTCCCCTGCACATGGCACAGGGTGGCTCCTTACCGGAGGTCCTGGGGGTCCCGGCTCTCCCTGGCTGCCCTGAAGGGAGAAAGAGATGGGGTCACTGCAGGGACAGGTTTTCCCCAGTGGGTGCATGGGGTGTCCCCTGGGAGAGGAGACCCAGACAGTGCCAGTGGCCCTGGTCAGCTCCCACACCCAGTGAGGACAAGCCTGGCCAGCTCCTGGCAAGACGCCTGGGGCCAAGCACCCACCCTGACAGCAGGGTGGCCCCCACGGCTTCACCCAGCACCCATGCTGAGGTGGGGGGCACAGTGACATGGGGGGGACACAGACACCTACCGGGCGTCCCAGCACGCCGGGGAAGCCTGGCAAGCCCTGCAAAGAACCACATCAGAGCCGGCCGGCGAGCAGGAGCCCACCACCCCCAAGCAGCCCTGCCCCCTCCCCAAGGATGCTCCCTGCTCCCAGCATGTGGTACCCAGCCCAGGGCACTTACGGGGGGGACCGGGAGGCCCCCTAAAGCCCTGTGGGCCCTGCGCAGGGGGTGAAAAGAGGTGAACAAGATGCAAACGCTCCCACTGGTGCCAGTGGTGGTTGGTCTGGGACCACAGGACCTTCCCCCCCATCCCAGCCCGCATCCCCCCCCACCATGTCCCCACTCACCGGCTTCCCCCCCGGGCCCGGCCGGCCC